CGGCGGGCCGCAGTCGGTGCCGCGGGTACGCAGCAGCAGCGCGATGTCGGATCGCCGGACGGAGGAGCTCGAGGCCGGCACCCGCTCCGCCTGCCCCGCCCCGCACGCGACACTCAGACCCATCCTTCGGGCCTCGGTCCAGGGTAACGGGGTTAACGGCGGCGGCGTCCACGTCCACCCCGACCGCTGGGGCGAGCCGCTGAACGCGAAGCCGGTAAGGTGTGTTGCTTGCAGCGGGGACTGCCTGCCATCCAAAGCAGGGGTTCGCCAGCCTTGCGGATGGAATCGGATCCGCGCGGAAATTCGGATGCGGAAACACTCTGCCTAGGCTGCTCTATGCCGCTGCCACTGTTGCTGACCATGCGGCTCCCGCGCGAGTCAACCGACCGGACCGGCTCTGGGTGGACTTGTCTTGGCCGCGGGGGTCAGTCCCGATCCCGATAGACGATCACCTGTCTAGCGCGTGTTATCTCGCGGGACTCTATCACTATGGGGACTGGGGCGGGACGACAGTGTAGCAGGCAGCCGACTTTGTTGCCGTCGCGGCGGCGTACGGGAGCGGGAGGCGCGCCGTACTGTACGTGCCCGGGACGCACGTGGCGCCCGTCAAAACTTTGCCCACTACGTTGTCATAACGTGACGGCGGCCCCGGCCCGGCCCCGGCTGGCACGTGTTCCCCAGCTGATGACTCGCGCTGCCCACAGATGTCGCTGCCAGCCATGCTCAAGAGACACCGCAAGCCCAAGGAGTACAAGCTCCGGGGCTTCGTGGCCATGCTCTTCCTGTGCATCGTGTTCCTGGTCGGGTTCGCGCACGTGTACTACAACCAGCAGGTCCTTCAGGTCAGTAAAGTCGGCGAATGACATCACCATACGACCTCCACCCGAAAACATAAATCTTACAGCAGCAGAGGATCCTCTTTGTGGAGAAAGAAGGAAAACAGAATACGATAACAAACGTTTTTTTTTTGTTTTTGTAAATTTGTGCAGAAAGCGTACTTTGACCGCATCCGCCTGAACCACCTGGAGCGGGTGGTGCGCGTGTACAACGCGGAGGGCGCCGAGCTGCTGCGCGGCGAGCTGGGCCGCTTCCTGCGCGCGACGGACAAGGTGTACCAGTGCCTGCACGAGGACGAGCGCAAGGGCGCCTACTGCATGGAGTGGATGGGGCGCGCGCGCCTCTACCTGCGCTACGAGGAGGAGGGCAACTTCCGCTGCTACCACATCAACTGGAAGGCGCTGGCGCACGACGTCTTCCCGACGGACTGCTTCGACCTGACGAGCGCGGGCGGCTCGGTGTCGCACTGGTACGGCGGCGGCCACGCGGCCGGCATGCGCTGGCCGCTGGAGGCGGGCCGCGTGTCCTGGGAGCCCTTCCTCACGGGCGACTCGGGGCGGCGCGACCACCAGTGGGGCAACGTGCTCAAGCGCTTCTTCATCTCCTCCAAGGGCGTGGCCATCACGGTCAACCCGCGCACGCCGCTGCACGTGGCCGCCAACCAGTACAACGACGGCGAGCTCTGCCTCCAGGTGCGTGCGTGTGTCCATGTGAATGAGGACCCCGACCCTTCGCCCCGCCATGACGCCAACTCTCTGTCCCGTCCGCAGGCCAAGTACGACGACTTCGCCTTCGTGCGGCCGACACCCAGCAGCGCCGCCTGGCTCAACTACACACTCTGCACCGTGTCCACGGGCAACATGCGGGAGCTGCACCAGCACCTCTCCGAGAAGAGCCTCTGGGACGGGCTGACGGAGGCGGACGTCGAGATCGTCAACACGCTGCTCACCCAACCCGTCTGGCAGATCGCCCCCGCGGAGGCAGATCTGCTCACCGAGCAGGCCATCCTCAACTACACCGAGGACGTCCTCTCGCTCGGCTTCCTCCAACACGGTGAGGAAGCTAATTGGATCG